CTGCAACCTCTGTATGATAATTATTTTGTAATTCCTCTTAGATTTTTCTATCAGAACTGTTGTTGTCTTTTGTTTTTTTCTTTTCTTTTTGCCATTGTCTTTTTTCTTCAAACTATTGGTTTTACTAGTAATTGAGCCCCGGAACCTTCTCACTTTTTCGCTTAAAGTACATTTAGAGAAATTTTTCTAGTGATTTCTTTTTCAAACAAGTGCGGATTCTTGAAATCCAAGAGAAGAAGACTTGAATCTGGACAATGTCAAATTAAGATTTTATCATTTGCTGTAATATTTTATGAATGTTTGGATACAAACTATTACCTTATAAAGTTGAACACTAATACTTTAATTCCAAATATTTTTTTCATACAAACATACATAAATTCATATTTTTTAAATTTTGAATTCCCTACTTTAACTAAGTTTTCTAGTATCTTGTCTTAGGGAGGAATAAATCGTATTTTGTAAAAAATCACTCTGATTCAAACAAAAATTTATCCGAAACTGACATTATCAAGATGCTTGATTTCTTGATTGACAACATATTTGTTACGTTTGGAGGACGTGCCTGCAACAAACAATCGGCATTCTCATGCGAACCAACTGTGCTCCTCTTGTTGCCGACTTGTTCTTTTATTCATAGGAGTCTTATTTCATATAGAAAATTCTTGTGAAGAAAGAAAAGAAATTAGCAATATCCTATAACTTCACTTTCCGCTATCTAGATTATGTTCTCTTACTTAAAAGTTCAAATTTGGTGACTATGTTGAACGCATCTGTCCCATCGAACTTGAGATAAAGGATACAAAAGATACAGTTGCCTCATATCTTGACTTAAATCTAGAAATTGACAATGAGGGTCAGTTGAAAACAAAACTTTACGACAAAAGAGATGATTTCAGCTTCCCAATTGTGAACTTTCCATTACTATGTAGCAACATTCAAGCAGCGCATGCATACGGAGTATATATCTCCCAGTTGATACGATATTCCAAGGCTTGTATTTTCTATCATGATTTCCATGATAGAGGGTTGCTGCTCACAAGGAAGCTATTAAACCAAGAGTTCCAAGTGGTGAAGTTGAAATCGTTTACCCGTAAATTTTATGGACGCCATCACGAGTTGGTTAACCGTTATGGTATATCTGTTTCACAGATGACGACGGATATGTTCCAATTGTCGTAACTACAATCCTGTCCCGTTTTCCCCGAATGTCACCTACCGAATTAGACTTATCACTAGGTTTGTACTATCACAAGCAACACGACGGGTGCCACATGTGGAGCAGGATCTGCTTACCTTTCCAGAGTAACTGAGATAAAACCTAATTTTGTTTTAAAGGAGTTCGTGTTTCTCTTGCTTTATTTATAAGTTTTGTTCTTTGTTCTTTTTAATTTTTCAATGTTTGTGTTGTGTATACCGGTAACAGTCTCGTCTATCCTTTGTCATGAAAAACAAGTTTCAATTTCAAAAATTCACATTCGGTCAAGTTTAATTTTTCAGGGTTAGAAATTTTTACTTGACCGATATTTGATGATATCTTAGGGTTAGAAAAGAGTCAATTACCCATCCGCTATTGCGTGATGTCCAATCACTTGATATAACATCAACGTATTTCATAAGAGTAGCACAACGAGTGTCACATTTGGAGCAGGATCTGCTTACCCTTCCGGAGCACCTGAGATCACCCCCAGTTTTTGGTGGGGTTCGTGTTGCGCAATCTTTAGTTTTTTATGTTGTGTTTTGTGTACTGATGTTTGTCTGTTGTTTTTTTGTTTTTTTTTTTAGCCATGTCGTTGTCAGTTTATAATATTGGACTTATGCGTTTGAATGTCCCATTCGTATATTTCGCCTCTCTTTTAGCTACTTTTTCTGTTTGAAGGTCTACATAAAAATGTATGAATTTGGAAAAAAGCTCCAGATATGCGTTAGAGTTATCTCTCATTAATGGTTCATGAAGACTATTCTCCATTCCAACTAGAACTGCCGGCAAAACAAGTCCGAATGATTTAACCTGCTAATGTAAATAATACTCTATAGGTACAAGGTAAGTTATGATAATTGACCTTGATTTTATGAAAGAACTGTTCGTATCACTTGCAACGAATTGCACATATCGAGATATCATAAGTTGATTTTCCGACATCGTCGTTGTGTTAAAAATCGAGATTTATACAAACGTCCTAACAATTTCCCAAACATGCATTCTTATTTTAAATGTAGAAACTACATTTATGTTCAGGCTGTGTAAGGTACAAAACCAATACGTATGACGAATGTCGGGTTATTTTGTACTGGCCTTGGAACCCACTCCTGAAATTATAAATCAAGATCACTGAAGAATTGTAGGTAACTTGTATACACATTGAAGTTTTGCATCTCTCAGTCATAATAAATGTTCGCTTTTTAAAAGTTGAAAGACTTGGTAACTTCGTTAAAAGTTGAAACAGGGCACCAGGTACGTGATATCACCTCCACGTCCTCTCACTAAATAATTCAAAGCTTGGTGACTCTGTTGAACACATCTATCCCATCGAACATGAAATAAAGGAAACCCAAATACAATTAAGTCTGTTTTATATATTGACTTACATCTAGAAATTGACAATAAGGGTCGGTTGAGAATAAACCTTAATGATAAAAGAGATGATTTCAGCTTGTAAGTTATGAACTTTCCAGTTCTATATAGCAACATTTCAGCAGCGCATGTATATGGAATATATTTCTCCCAGTTGACATTTCCAAAGTGTCATCTATTTCCTCCTCTCTTCTTCTATAGATTAATAGTCAGTTCGCTGAACTGAAGATTCACCTTTGTAATACATGTAGCAAAATGTTCAACTTCAATTGTAAACTTTGTTTAGAAATCATTTCCGATATTCTGTACGTACTTCTAAATATCGTATTTTTTTCATAAAGATTTTTAATAAATGAAAATTATTTGCCTCATAATCTATCTTTCTGAAACATGGTTATTTCATACTTTGAAAACTTGAATATTTGACAATTTGACAAATTCTATTACTTGTACTGGTTTGAAAAATTCAGGAGGATAGTGTAAGGCACAAATAGGTACTCCTTTGTTTCTGAAAGATCCCAAATCCCCAAAAGAAAGAAGGATGAAAAGTTCTTTAAACACAAGATGCTCCAAATGAAAATAAATTCCAAAACTTTTAATTTTCTTACATATAACGTCTGATTTGTTAATATACCTTTTATATTATTTTTATGTATCTTATTCCCTGTCGTGATAGTTTTGACCGATTGTGAATTCGCATGGCGAGTGATGCATGCACAGAAGTAGACGCTTACCCTGTCGAACATACACTATCTCGCTCCGTTTATGGTTCATGCGATTCCCTCAGGTTTCCTCTTTTTTATATTTTCAAAAATTAAAAATTGATTTAGCTGTTATGAACATCGGTAAACTACTGTTACCTCACATATATAGGCTATAGAAGAACTCCAAAGACATAAATTATATCTTATGTATTTATTATTTCAATTTCAGTATTATGAGATATTTTCACCATCCTCTCGTCTGTCGACATCGTCTTTGAACTTTTTCAATTTTATTCTCGCTCTTCTCTAAAACAAATGAACAAGCTGAAATCAAGGTTGATTAAAATCATCCCCAGGGTGTCTTGTTTCAATACTGCATTCGATGTATCTGACATTTAACTAACATGGCCACTACATATGTAACATAAAGGGGAAATATACCAAATCATGGTTTTTGATATTTTTGTGAAAATATCTAACAGATTTTACCAATTTTAAATAGCTTCGTTCCGGTTTACCTATTTTCTATTTCAACAAATTAAAACCATAAGACCAAACATACAAGTTTTATATTATCCATTGGAATATTGCTCTGAAATATAGTTTAAAAGTTAGAGGTCAAGTATTGATTATAAATAAACTCATCATAGATACCAGGATTGAAATTTTATATTTACGCCAGACGCGCGTTTCGTCTACAAAAGACTCATCAGTGACGCTCGAATAAAAAAATATTAAAAAGGCCAAATAAAATACGAAGTTGAAGAGCATTGAGGACCAAAAATTCCAAAAAGTTTTGCCAAATACAGCTAAGGTAATCTATTCCTGAGGTAGAAAAGCCTTAGTATTTCAAAAATTCAAAGTTTTGTTAACAGTTAATTTATAATTATGAACATATCAATGATAACTCAAGTCAACACAGAAGTGCTGACTACTGGGCTGGTGATACCCTCGGGGAAATAAATCTCCACCAGCAGTGGCATCGACCCAGTGGTTGTAAATAAACTCATCATAGATACCAGGATTGAAATTTTATATTTACGCCAGACGCGCGTTTCGTCGACAAAAGACTCATCAGTGACGCTCGAATCAAAAAATATTAAAAAGGCCAAATAAATTACGAAGTTGAAGAGAATTGAGGACCAAAAATTCCTAAAAGTTTTGCCAAATACAGCTAAGGTAATTGAATTTGTTCAACCGCGCATTTTAAAATAATTTCATGAATTATAGTTTTCTGCATGCTTTTCGACCTTCATAGCAAATCGGCTCTTGATGTTTGTAGTTATATATCAGGTAGTTATATATTATCCGTTAAAAGTGTCGGTACGGTAAAGCTATTTTTTTTCAATACAAGTAAGACAAGTGACTGAAATCCCCAATTCATCTTTATCTGATTACGGTACCAAAGGGAGAGTCAATTGTTTTTAAATGTATGTGAATATTGACATATATATATTTTTATTCGAAATGTTTTCGATATTTAACTTGTAATTGAATGAAGTTGTTTTTCTTCGTTTTGGGACATTTCCAATTTAAACCCCTATGCCTTTTAAATCTGACACAATCATTAGTCAATATGTTGTCAGATGATTGATACACACTCCTTGAAGTCTCTAAATAAACCAAATGTATGGGCAAATTTATTATGCATTGTTTATCATCGTCCATTGTTTATTAATTATGCTTAGTAAGCTAGAGTGTAACCAATCGGTTTGAATCTTTAATCAGTTTCTTGAACGTAGAACCATTTAACTGAACATATTTGTTTAAACTTTAACTTTATCAGCGTACCAGGAAGTATTGAATTGTTTTGATTACGCAAAGGAACCAGTATTTAAAATGCAAAATGGCCGACTGTTTAAAAAGTAAGCCAGACGCCGATAGCTTAAAATGTGGAATTTGCCTGTCTGCTTTTACCAAACCTATTCTATTGGACTGCTTTCATATATTTTGTACACCATGTATAACAAAATTAGCTGAAGGTAAAGACTCGTTGACTTGTCCTGTATGTAGAGCTGTTCACTTAATTCCATCAAATGGAGTCGAAGAATTTACGGTATATCCATACATGCAAGAGCAAATTTTGTCTGAAGCGAAAGTAGTCATACAGTGTCAAATGTGTGATAACGGAAAAGATATCGTATCAAAATGTGTCGATTGCGACAGTAACATGTGCTTTGAGTGTTCCACATTTCATTCAAGGCACAAAAAATTTAAAACTCACGTGACTGAAAAGATCGAAAGTACAAATATCGAAACGTCAGAAAAAAGTATACTTGGTGAAGACGTGTGTGATTTGCATAAAAGAGAAATCACGCTCTTTTGTGAATCCTGCAATTGCGCGATATGCGATGAATGTGAAACACAAAATCATAAATCTCACAAACATTGTCGAATTACATTTCAAGCTCAAAAAAGGAGGGACTTCTTACGATTGGGAATCGGTGCTTTAAAATCTAAAATAACGGAGATAGATGGCACAATTGAAATGTCAAAATATGAAGAAAATAGTTATTATAAGTTTTGTAGACAAGGAAAAGAAGAAATTCAAGCACATGCAAAAAGATCAAAAGACATTGTCTGCAACATTATCGACGTTTTGGCAAGTTTAAATTTACAAAAAATTGACGAAATACAGAAAAGGGATATTAAATCAATAACTAACTTCCAAGATGAACTTGAAACAAAGAAGCTGTCATTACAGTGCATCCTCAGAAGCACGGATGATGTAGTCAATTTAAGTCGGGATGGAATGCTTTTTAACAAGTATACATTTCTTTACCAAACGTTGCGAAATGAAGTACTTCATAGCTGCAAATCACCCGAGGTGTTTGCACCACAGTTCTGCTCTGGGAATCCAATTGAACACAAATACGTTGAAAAGTGTTTTGGAATGGTACAAAGAAGAAAAAGTCCTAGTAAGTCTAGTTCATCAGAGTTTCATATTTACTCTCTCCCGTTAATATGCGACGCACTTGAAATGACAAAAATTAACTCTTTCACTGTGTCTACTCCACGAAGTTTGGTCGGCTTCTACGATAACCAGACGTGGATACAATTGCCGAACATAATAAATTTGTATTCCTCAGATGGTAAAGTAATCCAAAATCAGAAAACTATGTCTGATGACCAACAAATAGTATTGGCTACTGTAAATGAACTTTGGGTCAAGTCTAAGGTGTTGATCAAGAAAATAAAAATTGGAACAAGCGAAGAAGCAGAGGATATAATAAAGTTTCCCGAGTTTGAGAGCTCTACATGTTGTATTCTTAAAAACAATTGCGTCATCGCATATTCAGTGAAAAACAAATGCTTTTATGAAGTGCAACTAGATGGCGATATGTCTGTGATCAAAATCGAAACACCAATGAAGACCATCCCTGTTGAGAATAACCTTGCTGATTTAATAACAATTCAACCTCCAAGAATAATCGAAACCGCGTCGAAGCACATCATACTGACAAGCAAAGATAAAGTTATAACGCTTGATAGAAATTTTAAGATCTGCAATGTTCACGAAGAAAAGAATTCAACATTTACGGGCATATGTGAAGATGCATATGGCAATGTATTTGTAACCGATTATTCAGCTAATAGAATTTGTCTTTTTACCTCTTATGGTGACTTCGCACGTACTGTTCTGACGAAAGATATATCAAATCCAACGCACATTACTCAAGATAATGTTGGTAATTTATGGTTTTTGGATAATCCAAATCGTGTCCAAATATACTCTTACATTTAACATTAAGATGTAGCAAACAATCGAAACGTGTGTTTGTGCTTCGGCTTATATAATATCAGATACAAGATATGGTTATAAACTTTGCATTTTTGATCCTGTATCAAATCATTACCTATAAATACATGCATATATGTACTAAAGAATCAAAGACATGGACACAAATTTTTCAAACGAAACTATCTTCAAAATATCACTCAAACCTTAACTCCAAAAAATAATAGAAATCCATTTGTTTGTATTTAAAAGAAGTTCCTCCAAAAAAGTAACCACTATGCAGTTTCACCAAATCTCTGTCCGTTATAGATAAAAAATATATCTGTTTATTATATTTATAGAAAAATCTAATCAATATTATGACTATTTGTAATATGATAATACTACGGTACGTTAAATGAATGTATCAATTGATATTATGATTTACTATAAACCAAAATGTTATGTTTGTACAATTATTTTGTATAATAGTATTGGATCACGCCTCTCTTGTGATTTTTCAAATACAATATTGAATTACATTGAATCTATTCAGTTGAATATATCCAAGGTTAAGTTTTTCAGGATGAGCTATATGTACCTACAGAAAAATGTAAAATAGCAAAAATACCGAACTCCAAGGAAAACTAAAAATGGAAAGTTCTTTATCAAATGTCAAAATCAAAAGCTCAAATAGAGGGGGCTTTAGACGAATCTTTCTCCATTATAGTTAAAAAAAATTAATTGGACTAAATTTCAAATCAATAAATAATGTAATTCTAGTTTGCACCTTAGACGCTTTGAGCTGATCAATATATTTTCAAAGAAACACGGGTCGTGCATGTTGCATAAGTCCTTGTTAAGGCAATCATTGGAATTCAATATACACAACTCAAAATCACCATATAACTTTCATTTTAACTCTAACCTTCAAATTACAATATTATTTCTTTTTTACAAAAATACAACTCCGTTTCTCCGTTGAATAGATATCACGTGAAATAAATTATATAATAAGATATAATTAACGGAGTTATGAGTATAATGAACGGATCTTTAAATTACATAATGATAAGTATGGAGCATATTTAACATAGTAAAGATGAAATGAATATAAATCGCGGTTCGAGACAGTGCATGCTTAAATTGGAAGCATACGTCTATTTATGGAGCTATGTGGTGTCTGTTGCAGATACTCGACTTGGCATCATTTTCTCATTAAAGTCTTCAGCTTTAGTATTCATGATTATGTATGTTCATTTACTCTTCATTGCAGGGTTCATAATATTTGGTATATCTATATGTTGCGAGGAGACTTTGGTAATATTAAAATTGTCAAAATGAGTTTGTTACTCGCATACTACATCTAATAGATCAACTGTATCTGGATGATTTATGAGAAGTTTTAGTCCGTCGAAATGTCACACAACAATTACTGCACTTTCACGACCACGCGATAACTTAGGTACTTTAATTGGAAATGTATTGCCGAATGAATAAATGATAGGCTGAAAAGTTGTGAATCAGTTTCATGTATGAGAACCTCCATTTAATAAGTGAAGTAATCTCAATTTAGGAGTTATTGTTCTTTTTAAAAAATGTGTTTTCTTGTTTTTATGCTTATCCATGAAGATGTGGTATGAGTGCCAATGAGACAACTCTCGTATGTATTTGTCATGTAATACGCTCATTTCGTTTTAATTCTGTTTTTCTTATTCTTATGCTTATCCATGAATATGTTTGTATTTGTCATTTTTATATTCACATTTTGTTTGACGCAAAGTGACAGGCATCGCTAGACATTTGTCTAGAGCAAATATTAACTAACACTACTAACAGATTTCACGAAGCCTCATCTAAAATCAAAGGATTTGGAAGTGGTCAGCAGGTGTTTAAAATTGTTAGATAATCAGAAGAAATAACCATCTTACATGAATGAGTTAGTATATTACGTCTATAGCCATCCCTGATGAAAGATGTAAGAATTTTCAATTCAAATATATATAATTTAAATGTTTTGTTTACGTGGTTAAATACATCGGATGTGCATTAAAGAAATGGAGTTAATTAACAAATTATGACTACTATATGTACCACCTTTGATAAGTATTTAGAATGACGATAAATTTTCACTTCTGTATTCGTATTGTGAACAACAAATATTTATTTTGTAAAAAAAATTTCCGTAATCCTAACGACAAAATTATTATATTAAAATTTACAGTACGTTATTTAACGCCATTTTGTCCCAGGTTAAAGTTGTCTTCTTGACATTGTTCTACATCTTTTTTTATTAATATTTTATTTATATTGTGTCATAGATCAAACGTTTTCGTTCAATGTATGTTTATTTGTTTTTGCTTATATGTCTTTTGATCGAGTAAAGCCACTTCAATTGATATTTTATAGTGTTTCTTTTTATATTGTGATGTTACACTACTGTTTCAGGTAAGAGTGAAGGTTGGCGCCTATAAAAACGTTGAAACCCGCTGCATTTGAATGCAGCTGTCCTAAGTCAGTGGTTGTCGTTTATTTGTGTTTCTCGTTTTTTCATATCGATTAGACCATTGGTTTCCCTATTTGAATTGTTTTACACTAGTCTTTTTTGGGCCCTTTATAGCTTGCTGTTTGGTGTGAGCCAAGGTTCCGTGTTGAAGGCCGTACTTTGACCTATAATTGTATACTTTTTACACATTGTGACTTGGATGGAGAGTTGTCTTATTGGCACTTGTACCACATCTTCTTCTATATTTATATATAATTGTAAAAAATAAAAAAAAACAACTAAGTAATACTGGCTGTATTAAATATTACTTAATCAATCTGAAAAGTATAAGTAGGACTACTATTTTTCATTACAAATTATTTAGAATTATTTGTTTTTTTATTTTTTATTCAATTCAATTCACACTTGTTTTACCCGTAAATCAATAGTAGAATGGTATTATAGGTTTTGAATTTTCAAATATATTGCTCTCGTGCATGACATTAATTGTCGAAATGTACTTCTGGGACAGTAACATTGGTATGGTACCCTTAATGTTATAAGAACCAATTGTTCGAGATCTCTGCTGGTGAACTGCTAGTCCTCGAAAGTATATCCAGCCAAGTGGCCGGAATGTCGGTACTGGAAAGAACATACAGATATTGTTTTATTGAAATTTACTTTAATAGAATTTTCAAACATACGAAATGATAGAACGTAAACTATCCCACTCACGCATAACTCTTATTCCTTGTCTGGGTTTAACCTAACTAAAGTGGTTCAAAGTTTGTATAGGACTTGAATTTCCAATATTTTGGCCTCGCGCATCACTAAAGAGACAGTAACGGTCAAAATGAGCATCTAGTGCAGTAAAATTGGTATCACTAATGTTATTATTGTCTTGTAAACAAAAGTTCAATATGAAAAACCCATAAACAACATCAATATTTCTTTAATGTATAATTATTCAAATAATATCAAACAAGACCTTTATTACTAGAAGTAAAAATTGATCAAATGCCAGGCGTATGATTTATCTCTAAATTAGAAGATGTGGTATGAATTTTCAATTAGACAACTATCGACAAGAGACCAATTGACTTGGACGTAAGCAACTATAGGTCATCATACGGCCTTCAGCGATGATTTGCAGCACGACAGTAGCACTGGGTACCCCAGGCGCGCGTTTCGTTTACAAAAGACCCCTCATGGGTGTAAAATTTTACCAATTGTAAGGCATAATGAATCATCAAGGAATTGAATATCATTGAGAACCAAAATTTTGAAAAATTTGTTTCAAACAGAATTTAAAATAGTTACTGTCTCAATCAAGAGTTGGCTGCCTACAATTAGAGCATTAATTACGATAAAAAACAGACACAAATTTCCATTCTGTCCTGAATTAAAACCATAAGACCAAACATACAATTTGAAATAGAGTTTTTGTTTCTAAGTTTCCAGCTACTCTTTTAAGATATTGTGCTGATCTTAAGCATAAAATTATACAACGAGCACCTGTCGTTGCTTGTTAATCTCATTTGTCAAATATAGACATTATCGTAACCCTTTGATTTAGAACATTTCATGAAAACTGCAGTTTTCCGCAAAGTTTTATATTATCCATTGGAATATTGCTCTGAAATTTATTTTAAAAGTTAGAGGTACATATATTGAATTTGTTCAACTGCGCATTTTAAAATAATTTCATGAATTATAGTTTTCTGCATGCTTTTCGACCACCATTTAAGTATTGAATGCTTCTTTTTGTAAATGTTTTGGGGTGTAAAATCGTTGACCGAAGTACATTTTGTATTCTAAAAATGTGCGCACGGTCAATGCTTTTACAACCCTATAAAATTACTAAAAGAAGCATTCAATACTTAAATGGTGGTCGAAAAGCATGCAGAAAACTATAATTCATGAAATTATTTTAAAATGCGTAGTTGAACAAATTCAATATATTCCATTCTCAATTTTATTTAATACTTATAATAACATGTTTTTGCTAGGATCATGAAAACACGATGTCTATCAAGTTTTTCTTTTATTTACCTGTGCACTTTATTGTGGAAGCTCGTGTCATCATGGATGTTACATTCCATTTTGAAATGAAGGTTAATTTGAGAATGACGCGATATTTCTGTTAGCCAATCAAAATAACGTATAATAACGAAACATCTTTATCTGATTAAGGTACCAAAGGGGAGAGTGCAATTTGTTGTAAATGTATATTATGTAAATGTATATGCATTTTGACATTCGAAATGTTTTGGATAGTTTACTTGCAATTGGAGTTATGAAGTTTTTTTTTCTTCATTTTGGGACATTTCCAATTGAAACCAATTCAACCAATTATGAAGAACTGGATCTTCCATCACTGTATTGGATACCTTAACTACATAAGTGTCCTTACAAACAACGGTATATTGCTGGGTCTTCCCAGTGCTCCACGAAACCTCTTTCTAAATTAATAACATCTATTTTATCAGCAATCAAAGCCGGGCTCCAAAGTTATTGTGAAACTGCCTATTCTAGAGGTGGCGTAAATCAGATGTGGATACTAAAAAATTCCAAAGATCTTGTAGAGTATATACAATCTAAGACTCTCTCATCTTGCAATAGTATTAAAACATTTGACTTTTCTACACTTTACACAAGTATTCCCCATTCCAAACTAAAAGACAAATTGAAAGAGTTGGTATTACTTTGTTTCATTAAAAAGAATGGCGAACGTAGATACAAGTATCTTGCCTTGGGGAGGGATAAATCCTTCTTTGTAAAGAATCACTCTGATTCAAACAAAAAATTCTCTGAAACTGACATTATCAAGATGCTTGATTTCTTGATTGACAACATATTTGTTACGTTTGGAGGACGTGTTTTTCAACACACTGTCGGAATTCCAATGGGAACCAATTGTGCCCCTCTTCTGGCCGACTTGTTTCTTTATTATTATGAGGCTGACTTCATACAGGAACTTCTTAGGAAGAAAGATAAGAAGTTAGCAATATCCTTTAACTTAACGTTCCGCTATATAGATGATGTTCTCTCACTAAATAATACAAAATTTGGTGACTATGTTGAACGAATCTATCCCATCGAACTAGAGATAAAGGATACTACAGATACAGTTAAGTCTGCCTCATATCTTGACTTAAATCTAGAAATTGACAATGAGGGTCGGTTGAAAACAAAACTTTACGACAAAAGAGATGATTTCAGCTTCTCAATTGTGAACTTTCCATTTCTATGTAGCAACATTCCAGCACCGCCTGCATACGGAGTATATATCTCCCAATTGATACGATATTCCCGGGCTTGTATTTCCTATCATGATTTCCTTGATAGAAGATTGCTGCTCACAAGGAAGCTATTAAACCAAGAGTTCCAAATATTAAAGTTGAAATCATCCCTTCGTAAATTTTACGGACGCCATCACGAGTTGGTTGACCGTTACGGAACAACCGTTTCACAGATGATATCGGATATGTTCCTTATGTCGTAACTACAATACCCTTCTCTTTTACTAATGTGACCTACCGAATTAGACTATTTACCGGATTTGTAATAACATAAGCAACACGACGGGTGCCACATGTGGAGCAGGATCTGCGTACCCTTCCGGAGCACATGAGATCACCCCCAGTTTTTGGTAGTGTTCGTGTTGCTTAGTCTTTAGTTTTCTATGTTGTGTCATCTGTACTATTATTTGTCTGTCTTTTTATTTTTGGCCATGGCGTTGTCAGTTTGTTTTCGATCTATGAGTTTGACTGTCCCAATGGTATCTTTCGTCCCTCTTCTATGCCTGTTGAATCTTACACAGTCATTAGTCAATATGTTGTGAGATGATCGATATATACTCTTCGGAGTTTGTAATTAAATTAAGGTTTTGGATTATATACTTTATTTTGCATTGTTTATCATTCCAGAAACAAAGTATGGATGTCCGAAATAATTTTGGTATCTATTTTTTGGAGTTTGTAAATATAACAATATGCTTATTGTTAATGGTAGAATTTGTGACAACAGTGGACACTTTACTTGCAAAAATGCCACTGTTGTTGATTATAAGTTCCCCATGTTTTCTCAAACTTATCGAAAATTTCACTGTAGTAGAAACGAATACTTTATTTTCGGATATACATTATCCGTTATCATTAATTCTTAAAGCCGAAATAAATGAAAATAAAGTGGTTTTAGATGAACCATCGTATGAAAAAATTAAAACTGTAAGAGTACTAAAACTACAGATTATATTCATAATATAGACAGAGAAAGAGTAAACGAAATACTGACTCAACTTGTGAATATGGTTGACAACGCAACAATAAGTGAAACAACATAAATGCTGCAGTTGAGAGTATAAGTAGTTTACTAACCGATGCAGCTAAGAGTACTTTCGGCACATATACCTAGCGAAAACTTAATCCAAATTTACACAAATATAAAAAGGCAGCCAAACCTGGTTTGAAGATGATTGTAAAGAGGCCAGGAAAAATATAAATCATCAAAAGGAAAATTGAGAAGAAATCGATCACAACTGCAGAAAGCCGAAACTTAAATCATTACAGAAAAAATATAAGAGAACTAGGGATAAAAGTAAGAGAAAACATAGGAAAAAATAGAAATAGAATAAATAATTTGAAATCCACTACACCAGAAAAGCCCTAATATACATATGAATATATTGTTAGATTATTTTAAAAAAAAATGCTGGTAGCGCAAAGGAAGATCGTGAAAATGTAAACAATCAAAACGATGTTGATAGATGAAATATGTCATTGAATATACCCATAAGTGTAGATGAAAGTGAAAAAAGAAGTTAAAAATCTGAAAAATAATAAAGCCTCTGGTGTCTATATCAGTATAAATGAGTATTTGAAGCATTCATTTCAAATTTTATCTAGTATATTAGT